GATCTCCTGGGCTAGGTTCCCCCAAGGCTGGATAGTCCTGTGTGGTGCTCAATCCACTCTGTGTTTATTGAGTGTGCATATAAAAGCTTTTTTTTCTATTGCTTTTACGTAAATGCTACGGCAACAGTGCACTAGGTGCACTTTTTTAACAGACCCAGAATTACCATTGAGGTTTAAACAAGTGTATTTATTATATGGTAACATGTATTCTGCATGAAACCTATATGTATAATTTGGATATATTGCACTAAAGTACTTAAAGCGGCACTGTCATGCCGAACTTACCTTTCCTCAATCTCTTCCTCTTTTCCCCCTCTCTCAGGATCTGTTATTCTTTTCTTCCTGTCTTCTTTAGTTTTCTTTAAAATCATAAGACAAAGTAGGGATTCTTTGCCTTATGGAGGATTCCTCCGCTTGACCAGCTCTGACCAGCGGAGGAGCAAAGTGTGCTTCATTTCCGCTGGTCAGAGCAATTTTCCCATGATCCTTACCTTCCCTCTGTGTTCCCACGATGCTTCCTGTCATTTTACATGAAACTGCCGAATTGCGTTCTAACTGAATGAGAACAGTATGTTCGTTTCTTTTAGAACGCAATTCGGCACTTTATTCGGATCGGAATTTCATTCTAATGAATGAAACTCTGATCCTATTCATTGCTGTGGCTGCATCTTGCAGCCGCTTAGTAGATAACTCCCTAATTCCCACGGTATCAGGGAGCTATCTACTAAAAGGCTGAAAGACCTAAATTGGTCTTTCAGCCACATTTACTAATACTAAGTAAAGATTACTTAGTATTAGTAAATTAAATGCCCCTACTCGCTATATCGCGAGTAGGGGCATGTGTTGTAAGCAGTGAGCAGGGTATAGCTGCTCACTGTCAAAAAAAAAACAAAAAAAAACTAATACCCCCCCCCATGCCCGTGGGGGCCCTAAATAAAGATGGGGGGGGACCTACTGTCCCCCCTGGCCCCCACCCCTGAGCGGTGGGTGGGGGCCCTAAATATAGATATGGGGGGGGAACTTCTGTCCCCCCCCTGGCCCCCACCCCTGCGCGGTGGGTGGGGGCCCTAATAAAACAATAGGGGGGGGACCTACTGTCCTCCCCCCCTGGCCCCCACCCCTGCGCGGTGGGTGGGGGCCCTAATAAAACAATAAGGGGGGGGGACCTACTGTCCTCCCCCCCGGCCCCCACCCCTGAGCGGTGGGTGGGGGCCCCAGTAAAACAATAAGGGGGGGGGCCTACTGTCCTCCCCCCCCTGGCCCCCACCCCTGAGCGGTGGGTGGGGGCCCTAAATGAAACACCCCCCCCAATCAAGGTGACTAGGGGTCCCAAGCCCCTAGTCACCCCCACCCAAAAAAACCTACCCCCTACCTACCCCCCTCACCCTAAAAATAGTGAGGGGGGAATAAAATAACTAACCTGTAAAAAAAAAATTAAACTTACCATTTGACGTCTTCTTTTTTCTAAAATCTTCTTTCTTCAGCCCCCCAAAAGGCCAAATAAAAATCCATTATACCCGTCGCACTTTAAAAAAAAAAAACGAGCGCAAAAAAAAATTAATCCATGTTCGCCCTTCGAGGGCACGCCGCGTACTGAGCTCCGCAGGGCGGGTCAAGGCTTATAAAGCCTTGCCCCGCCCTGCAATTAGGCTTAGAACACTCTGATTGGTGGGTTTAAGCCAATCAGAGTGCTCTGAGTCATTTTACACAGCGTGGGAAAATTCAAAAGAACTTTCCCACGCTGTGTAAAATGACACAGAGCACTCTGATTGGGTGGCTTTCAAGTAATCTTTACTTAGTATTAGTAAATGTGGCTGAAAGACCAATTTAGGTCTTTCAGCCTTTTAGTAGATAGCTCCCTGATACCATGGGAATTAGGGAGTTATCTACAAAGCGGCTGCAAGATGCAGCCACAGCAATGAATAGGATCAGAGTTTCATTCATTAAAATGAAACTCTGATCCGAATAAAGTGCCGAATTGCGTTCTAAAAGGAACGAACAGACTGTTCTCATTCAGTTAGAACGCAATTCGGCAGTTTTGTGGAAAGTGACAGGAAGCATTGTGGGAACACAGAGGGAAGGTAAGGATCATGGGAAAATTGCTCTGACCAGCGGAAATGAAGCACACTTTGCTCCTCCGCTGGTCAGAGCTGGTCAAGCGGAGGAATCCTCCATAAGGCAAAGAGTCCCTACTTTGTCTTATGATTTTAAAGAAAACTAAAGAAGACAGGAAGAAAAGAATAACAGATCCTGAGAGAGGGGGAGAAGAGGAAGAGATTGAGGAAAGGTAAGTTTGGCATGACAGTGCCGCTTTAAGTGCAAATACTGTGTATACAATACTACTAGAGTGCCATCTATAGTTTATGATTTGAACTACAAGCGAATCTAGTCCTTGGCTAACAGTGATTCACAATTACACTATGCTCCTTATATCGTTATTTTGAGCCTCAACACATCGAAGGTTTGTTCTATCTAATAACATGCGTGACTGACCTAGCTTTTTTTGTGGCTTATGACTTTGTGGTCAGGCATACTTAGTGTAAGTTCCTAAGTGCGGGTTGGAAACTGGAAGCACATGCACAACTGTATTTGGAACTATAGGAAACAAATTATGGCCTCAATATAATTTTTTCTGATACTTTTTTGTCCAGTGATTTAATATTTTTGTATAAACTTTTTAAATGATTTAATATTTTTAAAAACATAAATATATTTTAATAGATTTTTTTATATATCATATAATTTTTGATATTTTAATATTTAGATTGTTGATTTTTTAAAAGTTTATCCAAAAATATTAAATCAATTGAAACGCTTATCCAAATAACTGAAGAGCTATAGGAGAGCCATAGAAATATATCTACTTGTAGCTCTAGTTAGCTTCCTTGATTATTGGCCCTTTTATGTGATTTATGTGGACGTTGTCCAATCCTGCTGAATCTGCTTCAGAGAAAAGTTACTTAAAAAACAAAACATCTAGACCTCAATTTAATATTTTTGTATAATCTTTACAAATTATTTAACATTTGTAGACAATTTTTAAGATGATTTGATATTTTGAAAAATATTTACATTTTGCAATATTTTGATATATTTTATATAATTTTATATTTTGATATATGATGTATTTTTCAACATTTTAATATTTTTTACAAAATATTAAAAAAGTTAAAATTAAAAAGTAAAAAACATCAAAAACCTAGTATGTTTTAAAGGCATCACCAACTACTACCAAATGGTTTTGAAAAAAAAGGTGCTAATCCTGCTTCTGAGACATTCAGAAGATTTCAAAAAATGAAAAAAAATGAAATGAAATGTCTTCATCCAAGAATTGGTTGCAGGACAATTTATAACTGATCTTTGCATGTATATGGGCTTCAGTCTGTAATAGCAGAAGAGTAGAAAGGGAAAAGACATGAAAGAATCAGATTCAGATTTGGATTGGAAAAAGCCTGACTCATATTCTTCCAATGAAGAAGGGGAAGAAGATGAAGGGTTCAGTAGTTTGTTTTTTTCAAGACGATCCATTGTGTAAGCATTTTGTAGTTATATGGGTGATTGTTTCCATGGAAGATACAGAAATCAATCTAGAAACATCGGAAGGCATTCGCTATGCATGTTATTATACTGATGTCTTGAAAGGAGATGGGAAAATCCAAACAGAAAATCTTTCATTCAAATACTATACAAGAAAAATCTGTACCATACAAAAATGAGGTAGAAACTAACTAAATTAGGTAGAAAAATTAGCTTTTCAGGCTTCCACAACAAGGTGTTGGTAACTGGAACCTAAGTAGCAAGTTCTTGAAAACTTAGAGAAATGCCTTAATTAAGCTGTGTAGGACAATATGTGAATGAGTTGACCCTTAGGTTATACTTTTCAATAATATTAGCCAAGCATATTTTCTCTGTGATCTTTCTATGGAACTTTTGAAATGTTTTGAACCATGGGTCTGGTAGTCATGGGGTAAATTTAGATCATAGATGGTGTATTTAGGTACTAATAATGCCCTATGTGAAATTTCTGTTCCTTGGGAAAAGAAAGATAAAAATCTTAATGCCATATATTGTGTATTTTTTTGTATTTATTTTTTTACAATCAATCTAATTTCTGGGATTTCTTTGTCAGCACTGGTACAGACAAAATCAATGACAGTAACATACATCTAAGCAGTGAGAAACATAAAAAGAATACAACAGAAAGTTCTAAGTGACGAGCTTGGCGGGCGCAACGCGCGCGTCAGGGGCTACACAGCTTTTTTGCCACTTTTCTCTTATCATAGTTTACTTTTCATTTTGTGTGTCCTCTGATTTGGGTATAGTTTGATATTAGGGGGGTCAGCGTTAGGTGCCCTCGAAGGCACGGGGGTGGAGTGTCAGCCGTAGCGCTATCATTTCTAGTTAGTGTTAGACACTATTTGCTAATTTTGTATCATACATACAGTGTTGTGCTATCTGGCAACCCTTTTGCTCTTAATTTAGGGCTGCATCCTTAGCATCTATATAGGCGAATTTCTTTTAGCATTTGGGTGGCATTTTTGAGTAACCATACTTGCCGCCAGATATAGATACATTCTGTGTGTTACAACCTCATAGATGCGCGATTTACGTATATCCAGCTACACTAACTGACAGTTTTAGGCTGGCATCTCCATTACTTTAATATATATACCTCTACCATATCGGCAGATACCGTGGTGAACTCTTATCTGCCGATATACTGTAATACATTTTGTATGCAGCAGCCTGTGTGTTCACAGCCTCACAGAGGTGCGATCACGTATATCTAGCTACACTTACTAGGATTCTGTATGCAGGAGCATTCTAACACGCTACCTTATTTATTTATTTTCTCCACTTTTTGCAATTGGCATTTGTACCTTCCTCTCCACCCCCCTCCTCCCCCCCCCACTTCTCTTCCTTTTATTCCTTTTGCGCAGACGTGCGCCAGGAATAGGTTTATGTATAATCACCCAATCAGAGTTTATCCTGTATATATTACTATATTTCTGTGTTTCATTCCTATTACAGTCAGAGTCTAACTTATATATATATTAAGATCTCTGTGTCATTTCAAGATTTTAGTATTATTAGTTTTCAATTATTTTCAATAAACTTGTTTTTTATTTTCTGGACCCTGTGGTCCCTTTTAGATGAGCCTGTATTCCACACATTTAGTGTAGTAGTTTCAGGCCGTGACTAGTCCTCTTCGAAGGTACACATTCCTTTTGTTTTGTATCCATTTCTACTAGGGGTTATCCCCCTTTCACTGTGTACCTTGGCTGTCCCCCCAAAAAACGTTTCCCTTTCAAATTATGAATGAAAATGTACTTATTCCAGGTTATTCCTTATAAAAGGCAGAGGAATAAGTCCATCCAATTTGGATATAGAAAAAAATTAAAAGGTTCAGTTCTTCAAAAGACATTCTGCATGGAGACCATCTTGTCTGCTAACAGCTTCATGATTATGGTTGTGACAGATTCATCTGTAAGACTAATATTGCTGGTTCGTCTAGTTTGCCTTCCTTTCGTGGAATTACCTGTCCGTATGCCCCCATTCACCTTTTTGACTTTTTACCGAATGAACTTACCGAACGGACGGCCACCCAGAAGAGAAGTGTGCTGCTGGTTAACCTCTTGATCCCAATTAGAACGTTGTGGTTAACCGCAGACACCTCTTAATTATAACCAAATGCAAGGTGGTCGTCGTTCGTATGTCGACTACGAGGCGGCGGCCATTTTAAACCATGCGGAAGACCAGCGGTGTTCGGCGCGGATTCTATGGAACTAAAAATGGACACCTTTTCTGCCAAACACTGCTCAGACTAAAGACCGCCCTTCTCTTTCGTCAAGGCATGCGAACACCAGCCGTTCGGGAGTTTGGATCATACGAATGGACTTAACCCAGATAGCCATCCCATGGAGTCAATCGCATACCGAAAGACTGTAAAAGACTTTGACTCCATGGCGATTGAACTGTACGTATGGGATCTGAGCGCTATTCGCTAAGAATATGCACTCAGATCCAGGCTATCTGGGGATACGTTGCACAAATGTAATATGTTCGGTAGTTGTATAATTATTCATTTTCATGTGTTTTTTTATGCTTCATGTAAAATGGCGATTTGCCTCTGTCCTGGGAGATAATTGAATTACTTCTCAATTATCTCCAGGGCAGAGGGGAGGAAACCAGGATGCATTATGGGAATATTTTGTGCCTGTATGTCTTAAAGTGCCATATGTCTGTCTGCAATTACAGTCTCCCATTTGGTCCCCTAGGGAGTGTCCACCAAGTGGGAGACCTGCATAAATACGGGCGGGTAGCCCCCAGTAAAGCCAGTTCTTGTTTTACCCTCAATGCGGAGCTTGGTCTCGTTATTGGTGGGGATTTACTACACACGGTTAGCGACTGATTGCTGGAAACGTAAGCCGCTTGGAGGATATATTTGCTGCATTATTGAGGAAGGGGAAGCTTAACTAAACAGCGGTTTCACTCCTTTGTGCCAGCGGTGTTTTAACAATGGTCAATCTAAAAGACAACTTATCTCCATGATAATGGAGTCAAAGACTGGTCTATCTTCAGCTTAAAGGACCACTCTAGGCACCCAGACCACTTCAGCTTAATGAAGTGGTCTGGGTGCCAGGTCCTTCTAGGGTTAACCCATTTTTTAAATAAACATAGCAGTTTCAGAGAAACTGCTATGTTTATGAATGGGTTAAGCCTTCCCCCTAATCCTCTAGTGGCTGTCTCATTGACAGCTACTAGAGGCGCTTGCGTGCTTCTCACTGTGATTTTCACAGTGAGAGCACGCAAGCGTCCATAGGAAAGCATTATGAATGCTTTCCTATGTGACCGGCTGAATGCGCGCGCAGCTCTTGCCGCGCGTGCGCATTCAGCCGGCGGGGCGGAGAAGAGGAGGAGAGAAGGAGGAGAGCTCCCCGCCCAGCGCTGGAAAAAGGTAAGTTTTTACCCCTTTCCCCTTTCCAGAGCCGGGCGGGAGGGGGACCCTGAGGGTGGGGGCACCCTCAGGGCACTATAGTGCCAGGAAAACGAGTATGTTTTCCTGGCACTATAGTGGTCCTTTAAGTATTGGTGGTACTGGCAGCAGCATTAATTAATGAGAAAATCCATTTTATCTTGTTCCAACATTTGGCTGCCTGTAGGAGATACGTTGTAACAAGTTGCAGGAACACATAAATTATCCTACAAGTGCACCAACAGCACAAATGGCTGGTGAACCGGATAAAATTGATATCTAGTCCCTGGGTTTATTGATAAATTCTAAATCTACAGAAGGTCGTCTTTTCAAAACAAAATAAAAAGTGTGTTGCTTGCGGCTTACAGGCTACAGAAAAATACTTCCTTTTCCCTTTGCTTTTAGCAGTTTCCATCCCAGTAGGTTTGTGCACCAAGGCACACATAAGGCCCCTGCCAGAAATTATTTTTATTATGATTATATAAATATATATATACATATTTTAAATATTTATTTAAAGAGGAACCAAAAGCATAGTTAGCACATCCGAATAGGGCCACTGAGCCCTTATTTAACAGAATTACATTATCATAAAAAGAAACAATAACATATCATTTCACACCAAAACATAGTTACTCCCAGCTTATAAAGAAGCTTATAGTCAGCACCTGCTGGGAAGGCCCATCAGCCCCCACACCACTCAACTCAGACTAGGTAATCCTTCCAGGTGACCACACCTTCTGATATCAACTCAGAGAATTTTGGACTATACCTGTAAGCTTCAGATGGTTGTCCTCAATTTTTGTATTGTCTTATGTCAACTAAATAGTATAATATGGTTGAAACAAAAGTTTTTCAGAAGCAGTATAGTTGAAAAGAAAAATGTATTTATTGTAGGTAATCCATAAACAAATTGGAAAAATATCAAACTGGGAAATTTATACAAAATTGTTAAATGTACGTCTAGGAGCAAACAAAATGCAAGTCCATATACACATGCCAATGTCAAAACCAGAATAACAGTAATTTAAATTGTCAGGGAACAATAGAGAGAATAGAATAACAGTCAATACCAGCAAATTGTAGTAATAAAGGGAATCCTTTATTCATAGCCATGGTCAAAATCCAGATAGTAAAGTCGAAGGAGTAAGCAGTTTTCAGAGAGACTTGAGGGAACAGAGATGCAGAGTTTAGGGCGAACGGACCTGGAGCGAAGTGAGGCAACAGACACATAGGCGTCCGCAGGAATTTTTCCAGGGGGGGGGCATAATTGTAATGACATCCATGCTTGGTACCTTTTTGACAGTGTAATGAAAGGGAAGGGGCATAGTCATTATCACACAAAGCCAGGGTGAATAGCGTTTTCACAACTATGGTGTCAGGAATATATGTTTGTATTCCTGACACTATAGTGTTCCTTTAAGCAAATTAAAGGACCATTCTGGTCACCATAACAACTTCACCTAAATGAAAATGCTATGATGCCAGGAAGCCCATGGGTGCTCGCTTTCCTTTAAGAGGTTAAATCACTCTCAAATGGTTTAACCCCAAAGGCTTCCTCCAGCTCCAGGTCGCTCAGTGGTATTCGGCTTCTGAAACAGAGTGTCAGGAAGTGCAGATTGACGTCAGGCATGGGTGCCGCTGATTGGCTACAGTGGACAGTTTTCGCTCTAAGCCAATCGCTAGTTCCCGGTTCATAAAATATTTTTATTTTTTTATGAATGGGGAGCTACTGATTGGCTTAGAGTGCCAGCCGACCGCTCTAGCCAATCAGCAACACTCCTACCCAACGGCACTCTATGCTTCCTGACACTCAGTAAATAAAAGTGAACACATTTGTGATGAGACCAATCTCGCCACATTACATTGGAGAAGCCTGGTTGCTCGCCTGCTGCCTCTGGACTATGGCCCCCTTTTAAAAGACTTTATTTCGCCTGCAGAAAAGCTGTATTCGTGCTTTTCTGCCGGTTGTTCGGTAGATTCAATCTACCGAACAACCGCACAAATGAATAGACCACCTGGGAGCTGGAGTGTGCCGGCAATTAACCTCCCTGAAGCTGCGGTTAACCGCAGCTTAATTGACAAATGCTGGGTGGCCGCCATTCGTATCCCGAACACGAGGTTGCGGCCATTTTAAACATACGAATGCACAGCGGTGTTAGCCTCTATTTTCATGGAACTAAAATCGGACACAGTTTTGCGCGAACACCGCTGAAGCCGCCGACCTCCCTTCTTGTTCGGTGGAAGTGCACGAACGGCCCGGTGTTCGGTAGTTTTGTTTGAATGTGTTATACCCCAGATAGGAATCCCATGGAGCCTATTCGTATGAAACTGACTGTAAAGACTTTGGCTCCATGGCGATTAAACTGTATTCGTGTGGTCTGAGCGCCATTCACTTAATAATGTGCGCTCAGACCTGAGCTATCTGGGGATATGTTACATGTCTGTGTTTTATGTAGTAAATGTTACTTTATGTATTTTAAAGTATAATACTGGTTTTGTGTCCCCACGTGTGTAATGGAGTTTTGCCTTTGTCCTGGGAGATAATTGAATTACTTCTCCAGGGCAGAGGGGAGGAAGCCAGGATGCATTGTGGGGATGTTTTACTTCTCTATGTCTGTAATTCGTACATGTCTGTCTTTTGTTACAGTCTTCCATCTGGTCCCCAAAGGGAGTGTCCACCAGGTGGGAGACCTGCATAAATACTGGGCAGGTAGCCCTCATTAAACAGACCACTGCTTGACCCTCAACACGGAGCTCTGTCTCGTCTTTGGGGGGATTTACTGTATGCTGATAGAGACTGATTGCCAGGAGTGTAAGCTGATTGGGTGCTTTTCCTGTTCGTCTGCTAGCAGCTATTCGTGAGGTTCCAGTTCGAGTGTTTGGAGCATTCCCTTGTATGCAGTTCGAGTGTTTGGAGCATTCCATTGTATGCAGTTCGGGTGTTTGGAGCATTCCCTTGTATGCAGTTCGGGTGTTTGGTGCATTCACTTGTATTCAATTCGTGAGTTTTGGTGATTCTACAATAGCTGTGCCTGTCTCTGAAAGGGGATTATCGTCTAAGCGTTT